CAATTTTAAATTACAATAGTGCCTTTATTAAGGACATGTCTACTTTCCAAAGATTATTGCGTTCGTCAATATTGAGTTTTAATGACACTCAGCTACGCCTCGGTCAACAATTTCCTTTTCGAGTTATTAAAACCGAATATTGACCTTCACTTTGTTTAATATTTTCCGGTGATAATTATTACATAAAAGGTTGGTATGATATTAATGGTTAGTTATTTTATTAACAGTTGCTGTACAAGTTCATTACCATAGAAACATGATTTCTATCTTGTCGGCCATTTGAATTGAATTTGAATTAAAAAAATCAATCAATCAATCAAGCCAACTTATAAGACAGTAAAGGAGCAGCTAGCAGAGAAACTAAGTGACCGAAGAAACCAACGGTGAGACTCTTAGCTCCATTGCGATTTGCTGACATTTGTTCTGGTGTGGTACTGATAGCGTCTGAAAATGAAAATACGAAAACAAAGTTGTAATATGATATGATATGATATGATGTGATATGGTATGATATGCGATGCGATGCGATGCGATGCGATGCGATGTGATGTGATGTTAATGTGAAATAATATACTAGTAACCCACCTCCACAGTCCTTGTCTCCTGCCTGGTCTGCATCGAGCTTAGCACACGCAATATGGTCACCTTCAAAATCTTCTGGCGATGTTGTTACATTGTAGCACAAATATTCGTACAATTCACAGTTGCCTTGGTCCATAATGACGGTAGCCATACACTCAATATCTAATACAGCCTGACCGGAACCGAGAGGGATTGTGGGATCAGATGACGAAATAGCCACAGCGTCCGACACTGCCTGCGTCATGTCGGTATCCGATTGGCTGAAAAACACTTCTATTTCCATAATTTCGATACCATCGTAAACAGTAATGGCCGCCATGAAGGAGACTGTGGCTTCGGTGCCGGGAACAAATGTGGGCTTTACCGCCATCGGAACCATAGTATTTGCTGTTAGCTCTGTAAAGATATAACACATTTTTTTTATTTTATTTTTTTTTATTTTATTTTATTTTATTTTATTTTATTTTATTTTATTTTATTTTATTTTATTTTATTTTATTTTATTTTATTTTATTTTATTTTATTTATTTTATTTTATTTAAGAAGATTTTATAATATTTATTAATTTGTTTCCCTATTTATAACTTGTCTTGGGAATACATGTCGCGCCGTGTACTACGGTTCTTCTGTGGCCTAACTAACATCGTCGTTTATTGTGCCCTCTTGCGGCGACTCTGAACTATGCTGTCTCTTTGCTTTATTTTCGGGTCCACCGGACCAATATTCTCTGGCTCACGAGAATATGTAAATAGGTGAATACAAGGCCGTTAGAATCTTCGGTACTAATTGGATATGTAGTCGTCAGTCAACGTATAAATATTTTTGCAGATTTACTTATATTGAAAGAAACAACATGCAAATGACGGCAATAGCTGTAACTATCATTCTTTTTTTCCCCCGATTTTTATTTTTAATAAAACGTCTTCTGTGTCGTAAGTGCCAATTTGCAATGACCATCGCGGAAATGAGATCCCGTTAAGCATACATGCCGGTGTTTATGATTGTATCGTTTGCTTATGCCGCGAGGCACAAACCCACTAGGTCTCCAGAGGGCGCCATCTATTGAAATACTGTAAAGGGGGTAATTATTCACTGGGTTTTAATTTAGCTTATTTCGCTGACTGGAAAAATGCGCTAAATTAAAACACAGTGAATATGTAAAATTTAGCATAGAACACATTATCTAAATGACGAAACCATGAATTTAAAACCCACTGAATATGCCTGAAATGGTAAATCAGTGAAATTTAAACCCAGTGAAAATTAGTCATTTTACAGTACTTTTTTTTTCTATCAGGGGTTGCGGTAGAAGATGACAACTTACCGGGGGCTCTGGACAAAATACGCTGTCATCTTGAGAGGTTGAGCCTCTCTCTGACGGTCTTTCAATGATGATGTTATTCCCCATAGTAGTGTCCGTTGTGTGCCATAATTTTCTACGGTCCCCGTCACGTGAGCGTTTTCAACGAATCGGCGGCTACTCCAGTTTTCATATTAGGCCAACAACAAAAAACTTATGTTGCCCTCAAGTCGGAAAATTGGGTCGGTCGGTCGGATTTTGTTTTTAAACTCGTGAAAACTAAGGGTATCGTAAATAGCCGAGGTACATGGGAATCAATCAAACGCATGCTAGATATTAAACACAAAAATCAAAGTGTTTCTTTCAGTCTTTTGTATTTAAATACAGATCAACCCGAGGTTCAAAGTCGCCACTTATCCCCCTGGGAACCCTGGGGATCAAACAACGGTCCGGGATCGTTAATTCTTAGAGGAAACACTTTTTTACTGCTTAAAATGGTGAGTTTTTTATATTTAGGCCTATTACATTGAATGAAGGAATGAAAAAATATTACCAGATGTCTTTGTCTCTGAAGCTAAGATGGTAGGACGTGTTTTAAAGTGCTAGTGTATGATATTTCATAATATGCTTACCCACTGCAGCTAACGTCACAGTGCCCATGGCAACAACGAGAAACAATGTCGTCACAGCAGTTAAACGTCTAAAACATAAAAGGAATTTGTAATTTATTCATTTAGAACAGTACATCCATAAATGGTTTTTCATGCAAAGCATATAGATATACAAATTAACATAGAATTAAACAATCCACTGCAAAAATGACGAGAACACAATAAAGAAAAGCATAAATAGGGTATAAAATAAAATGACTACGAAATAATATGACAATAACATAGCAGTCTGAACAAAACGATAAAATGCATAAATGGGGTAAAATATGAATTGACAACAAAGTAGTAAGATAAAATTATACAATATTATTAGCAGCTGTAGCTGCGCGATATTAAAAAGAGCGAGTGTGAGATTTTGAAATATGAAATCGATTTCTGGTGTTGTAGGAATGGATAGCAGAGTTTGAAATGAGAAAGGTCAGATAAATATGGTGGGACTAAATATTGCTTGCATT